CATCAACAAGGACCTCTACAACCAGCTGCACCAGGGCAAGAAATCTGTGAAAGATGTGGCGGAGATGGAGTCTGTGCGGCAGTACCTGAAGGGCACGGATGCCATCGCCGGTGTCCTGGTGGAGTCGACGGGCCAGAAGCTCACCTTCTATGAGGCCCTGAAGAGAAACCTGCTGAAGCCAGAGGTTGCCCTCTCCCTGCTGGAGGCACAAGCTGCCACTGGCTACATCATTGACCCCGTGGGGAACAAGCTCTTCTCCGTGGATGAGGCAGTGAAGGCTGAGGTGGTGGGGCCGGAGTTCCACGAGAAGCTGCTGTCGGCGGAGAAGGCGGTGACCGGCTACAAGGATCCCTACACAGGCCAGACGGTTTCCCTCTACCAAGCGCTCAAGAAGGGCCTCATCCCCAGTGACACTGGGCTCCGGCTGCTGGACGTCCAGCTCGCCACTGGTGGCATCATCGACCCTGTCAACAGCCACCGGCTCCCGCTCGAGATCGCCTACAAGCGCGGCTACTTCGACCCGGAGGTAAACGAGGCTCTGACTGAGCTCCGAGATGACGCCAAGGCTTTCTACTGCCCCAACACCCAGGAGCACCTCACCTATGCCCAGCTGCAGAAGAGCTGCCACCGTGATAAGCAGACTGGCCTGTGCCTGCTGCCCCTGTCCGACAAGGCCATCCAGTCGCAGCAGGAGGAGGTCTACACCGACAGCCAGGCCAAGGAGTGCTTCGACAAGACCACCATAGAGGTCCCGGTGGGCAGCATGAAGGGCCGGACGATGACCATCTGGGATCTGATCCACTCTGAGTACTTCACAGAGGAGCACAGGCGGGAGCTCCTCCGACAGTACAAAACCGGCAAGGTGACCATCGAGAAGATCATCAAGATCGTGATCACCATCATCGAGGAGGCGGAGACCAAAAAGCAGGAGAAGCTGACGTTCAGCGGTCTGCGGGCGCCGGTGCCGGCCAGTGAGCTGCTGGAGTCCCGCATCATCAGCAAAGCCCAGTACGAGCAGCTGAAGGAAGGCAAGAAGACGGTGAAGGACCTCTCTGAGACAGATGCAGTGAGGAGGTTCCTGCACGGCAGCGACTGCATTGCTGGCGTCTACGTGGAGGCCACCAAGGAGAAGCTGAACATCTATGAGGCCATGAAGAGGAACCTGCTGACGCCCGGCACCGCTGTGGTCCTCCTGGAGGCCCAGGCAGCCACTGGGTTCTTGATCGACCCCGTGAAGAACCGTAAACTGTACGTCAACGAGGCAGTGAAGGCTGGTGTTGTCGGGCCTGAGCTGCACGAGAAGCTGCTGTCAGCTGAGAAGGCCGTCACCGGCTACAAGGACCCCTACTCGGGTGACACCATCTCGCTCTTCCAGGCCATGAAGAAAGGGCTCATCGTCAGGGACCACGGCATCCGCCTGCTCGAGGCCCAGATCGCCACCGGCGGCATCATCGACCCCGTGCACAGCCACCGCCTGCCCGTGGAGGTGGCCTACAAACGCGGCTACTTCGACCAGGAGATGAACCAGATCCTGTCCGACCCCACTGACGACACCAAGGGCTTCTTTGATCCCAATACCCGTGAGAACCTCACCTACCTGCAGCTGAAGGAGAGGTGCATCGAGGATCCCGAGACGGGCCTGTACCTGCTGCCTCTGCGGGAGCCCGAGAAGCCGAAAGTGGTGGAGACCACCCAGGTTTACACAGAGGCAGAGACACGGAAGGTGTTCGAGGAGACGCAGGTGGACATCCCTGTGGGCAGCCGGGCGGGCTCCTCCATGTCGCTGTGGGAGATCATGCACTCGGACCTGCTGCCCGAGGAGCAGCGGAAGCAGCTCATGGAGGAGTTCCAGTCAGGCCGCGTGTCCAAGGAGCGCATGATCATCATCATCATCGAGATCATCGAGAAGACTGAGATCATCCGGCAGCAGAACCTCATGTCCTATGACTACGTCCGGCGCCGCATCACGGCCGAGGAGCTCTACGAGGCCAAGATCATCTCTCAGGACATCTACAACATGCTGAAGCAGGGCTCCAAAACCTTCCGGGAGCTCCTGGAGGTGGAGACTGTCTGGAAGTACCTCTATGGGTCAGGCTGCGTGGCCGGCATCTACATCCCCTCCTCCAAGCAGACGCTCAGCATCTACCAGGCGCTGAAGAAAGGACTGATCAACTCTGAAGTGGCCCGCTCCCTCCTGGAGGCCCAGGCAGCCACCGGTTTCATGATCGACCCCACGAAGAACGAGATGCTGACGGTCGACGAGGCAGTCAGGAAGGGCGTGGTTGGGCCTGAGATCCACGACCGGCTCCTGTCTGCAGAGAGAGCCGTGACCGGCTACAGAGATCCCTACAGCGAACAGAAGATTTCCCTCTTCCAGGCCATGAAGAAGGATCTCATTCCCAGTGAAGAGGCCCTCAAGCTCCTGGACGCCCAGATCGCCACCGGCGGCGTCATCGACCCGCACCTGGGCTTCCACCTGCCCCTGGAGGTGGCCTACCAGCGGGGCTTCATCAACAAGGAGACGCACGACATGCTCTCGGAGCCCAGCGAGGTGCGCAGCTACGTGGACCCCTCCACGGACGAGAAGCTCAGCTACACACAGCTGCTGAAGCGCTGCCGGAAGGACGAGAACTCCAGGCTCCTCCTGCTCCCGCTCTGCGACACGCGGAAACTCACCTTCCGGGGGCTGCGGAAGCAGATCACCGTGGAGGAGCTCGTCCGTTCACAGGTGATGGACGAAGCCACGGCCCAGCGCCTCCAAGAGGGCCTCACCTCCGTCGAGGAGGTCTCCAAGAACCTCAAGAAGTTCCTGGAGGGCACCAGCTGCATCGCTGGCGTCTTTGTGGACTCCACGAAGGAGCGTCTGTCCGTCTACCAGGCCATGAAGAAGGGGATCATCCGGCCCGGCACTGCCTTCGAGCTCCTGGAGGCGCAGGCGGCCACGGGCTACGTGATCGACCCCATCAAGGGCCTCAAGCTGACGGTGGAGGAAGCCGTGCGGATGGGCATCGTGGGCCCCGAGTTCAAGGACAAGCTGCTCTCTGCCGAGAGGGCCGTCACCGGCTACCGGGACCCCTACACTGGAAAGCTCATTTCCCTCTTCCAGGCCATGAAGAAGGGTCTGATCCTGAAGGACCACGGGATCCGCTTGCTGGAGGCGCAGATCGCCACGGGAGGCATCATCGACCCCGAGGAGAGCCACCGCCTGCCCGTGGAGGTGGCCTACAAGAGGGGCCTCTTTGACGAGGAGATGAATGAGATCCTGCTGGACCCCAGCGATGACACCAAGGGCTTCTTCGACCCCAACACGGAGGAGAACCTCACCTACCTGCAGCTCATGGAGCGGTGCATCACGGACCCAGAGACCGGCCTCTGCCTCCTGCCCCTGAAGGAGAAGAAGCGGGAGAGGAAGACTTCTTCCAAGTCCTCTGTCCGCAAGCGCCGGGTGGTGATTGTTGACCCAGAGACGGGCAAGGAGATGTCTGTCTACGAAGCCTATCGCAAGGGCCTCATCGACCACCAGACCTACCTGGAGCTGTCGGAGCAGGAGTGTGAATGGGAAGAGATCACCACCTCGTCCTCCGACGGTGTGGTGAAGTCAATGATCATCGACAGGCGCTCGGGGCGCCAGTACGACATCGACGACGCCATCGGCAAGGGCCTGATTGACCAGTCAGCCCTGGACCAGTACCGCTCAGGCACCCTCTCCATCACCGAGTTTGCCGACATGCTCTCCGGCAACATGGGTGGCTTCCGGTCGCGGTCATCCTCAGTGGGATCCTCCTCCTCCTACACCGTCAGCCCAGCCCTGACACGGACCCAGATCTCCATGTGGACCGACCCGACCGAGGAGACCGGGCCGGTGGCGGGCATCCTGGACACAGACACTCTCGAGAAGGTGTCCATCACGGAGGCGATGCGCCGCAACCTGGTGGACAACATCACGGGGCAGCGGCTGCTGGAAGCCCAGGCCTGCACCGGGGGCATCATCGACCCCAGCACCGGTGACAAGTGCTCTGTCGCCGACGCGGTCAACAAGGGCCTGGTCGACAAGATCATGGTGGACCGCATCAACCTGGCGCAGAAGGCCTTCTACGGCTTCGAGGACCCGCGGACCAAGACGAAGATGTCGGCGGCGCAGGCGCTGAAGAAGGGCTGGCTGTACTACGAGGCCGGGCAGCGGTTCCTGGAGGTGCAGTACCTGACGGGGGGCCTGATTGAGCCCGACACCGCGGGCCGCGTGTCCCTGGACGAGGCGCTGCAGAAGGGCACCATCGACGCGCGCACCGCCCAGAAGCTGCGGGACGTCAACACCTACTCCAAGTACCTCACCTGCCCCAAGACCAAGCTCAAGATCTCCTACAAGGACGCCATGGACCGGAGCATGATCGAGGATGGGACCGGCCTGCGGCTGCTGGAGGCCTCCTCCCAGTCCAGCAAGGGCTACTACAGCCCGTACAACGTCAGCAGTGCCGGCTCCACCTCCGGATCCCGCTCAGGCTCCCGCACCGGCTCCCGCGCAGGCTCCCGGCGCGGCAGCTTCGATGCCACCAGCTCCGGCTTCTCTATGACCTTCTCTTCCTCATCCTACTCCTCCTCGAGCTTCGGGCGCAGATACGCCGGGGGTCCCCAGGGCGCTGTGGAGGCAGCTGCTCTAGCCCTTGCCCTCACCCTGGCTGCATCCGGGAGCTGTGGGCGGGAGGCGAGCGGGGAGCACCCCGGGGTGTGTGGGCCTCCACTCCACGTGGCCTGAGACCCGCCAGCCCCCGAGGCGCTGCCTCACCCGCTCCGCATGTGGCAACGCTGCTGGCTAATCACTAGTATTTTTTTTAATTTTGAACCTCCACTCTTCTCCCAAAGCAGTGCCTCGAGTTTAACCAAAAAGACAAGACTAATAAATTAATATATGCGAATGTGCTGACAGTGTTTGTATATTAAGAGACGAGAGAAAACACACACTACCCTCCCTGCCCTGTGCCCTGGGAGCCGGATGCCGTTCCAGCCCCTGGCTGCGCAGACTCCGCTGCCGCTCGCACACGGTGCGGTCGAGCCGGACACCAGGAAAACAGTTCCCTGTTTGGATCTAACCACTTAGCACTCTTTTGTAATTAACCTGCCGGCTTCAACCCCCGCACCTTGAAGGAGGAGATGACCCTGGCCCCGCGGTGCCCCACACTGCAGCCAGCGTGCTGGAGGAGGACATCGCCGGCTCCCCGGCACCAGACAGCCAGACACGCCACGCCGGCCCCGGAGCTGCTGCCTGGACCCCTTCCAACCACCCTCAGCGTGACAAGGAGGGGGCTCTGCGCCCGGCCCCCCAGCTGCCCCATCTCCCTGCCTTGGCCTCCCAGCACGTCCCCGCCACCGCACCGCGGAGCCGGTGCCCCGACCGTAAGTGCCGCCCCGGTGCTGCCCGGTGCTTCACGCGGGGGGACCTGCCTCCGCTCCGCCGCTTCGCCCACCGAGGGGCTTCGCTGCGCGCCTGCCTCCGCCAGCCCGCCCGCTCACCCGCCCTCCGGGACGCTCCCGCCGTGGCCGGCCGGTCTGTCTGTCTGTCTCTCCGTGTATCTGGGAAGTGCTTCCGCTCGAGGTTGATTTCCTCACACTAATGTGGCTCCACGCCCCCTTGGCAGATGTCTGCCAGAACCCACGCCCCAGCCCGGTTCCGCGTGGCTCCTGTGCCCAGAGCCCCCCTGGCCACGGGGACTTTCCTGACCCTCGTGAGGGGTGCGGGGGCCTCAGGACCCCCGGAGCATGGGGTGGGCCGTGGGACGCTGCAGAGCCCGAAACATGCTCTTGTTAGAAAGTGACGAATTTCTGTAAAAGCAGCCTCCTCTTCCTTCCTCGCGGTAGTTCCAACCCCCTGTCCCTGGCTCTCCCTGCGCCTGCAGTAACACACTCTCTCTCTGGCAGACGTCTTTTTCCAGTCCCACCAAAGATGTCCCGGTGCCGCTGGGTGAGCTCCTGAGCTGGGTCTCCGACGTCAGCAGGTCATGGATGGGCTCGAGGGGAGCCCGGGAGGCTGCGGCTGCTCGGCGGCGCTCACCAGCACAGGTAACGCCGAGCTCCCCGCCCTGTCCCGGTCCCGCGGCGCTGCCGGCCGGGTCAGTGGCTTCATCTCGTGGGTCGTTCTTCCTGTCTCATCCCATCTTTTCTGTTCGCTTTGTTGTAGTGTGGCTGGATGTCCATCTCACCTCCCCTCATCGCCGCCACGGAGCCCGTCCCCTGCCCCGGGGCCGGTTGGACCGCGCCTGAGGACGTGGGGACGTGCTCCCTCGCCCTTTGCACTTGCCAGAGTCCCCGGGCAGAGACCGGGGCTGCAGTGCCTGGGCAGCCAGTGGCCCGAGAGGCACCCACGGGGTCACCCAATCCCTCCTCGCCCTGCACACCCCCTCCTCCCCAGGGACGGCCTCCCGGCGCGGTGCTGGGCTCACCGTGGATCTCCATGGCATCTCCTTCTTCCCCCCTGCTCTCATCTACCACCTGTAAATCCAGTCATGTTACCCTTCGCCTCCGGTGTCGTTATTGCTCTCATTATCCCGTTTGGCTTTGCATGAGGCGCCGCTGCCCGCGGCTCCGGGATGCTTCCCACTCCCTGGGGCCCCCCGTGCCCCGACCATCACTCATCGGGGCATCGGGGGCCCATCGATCACCCAAACAAGTGTTTTGGGGGCAAAACACTAAAATCCTGACCTACACATACTGCGAAGTGTCTGTAAAAGGAGCAGTGTGGACCCAGGGCTCCCCTGCAAGGGCAGTAAAGGAGAATCCTCTGAAACCAGCCAGCAGCTCTGTGTGGTCTGTTTGCCCCTCCAGCCTCGCCACCGTGGCTGTGGGCTGGGGGCTCTCATTGCCTCCTGTGGCTTTGTGCCATGGGCTGCTGGTCCTGGTGGAACGTGCTGGGGCACGGTGGGTCTGACCGGCTCCTGGCACAGGTGCTTCACCCATGGGCTGGGCCTTGGTGTCCCCACGGTGCTGCTGGGCACAGAGCAGGGCCGCAGGGGTGTCCCCAGGGCTGTCCCCAGGGCTGTCCCAGGCTGGTGGCACAGCCGGCACTGCCAGGAGGTGAGTGTGGGTGCAGCCCCTGGCCAGCAGATCCCTGGTTTTGGGGAGTGAGCAGTGCTGGAACGTGGGGACTGTAGAGGCTTTCGAGGCTGAATCTTTCCCATGGGGACAAACCCATCCCTTCCAGCCCCGTCAGTGGGGCTCTGGGCATGGCAGGGACACTGTCCCCCACGGCACTCTTCCCTGTGCCCATATGTGCCATTACCACTGCTAGTCCAGGGCTGTGCCCACTGTTCCCGTGGCCTCTGCCCAGTGCAGGCTGTGCCGTGGGCTCTCCCTTTTCGGGCAGCGAGGGGCTGTTGTGGGCAGATGGCAGCAGTTTGCTGTGAGGATGAGGGGCTGGAGGGGATCAGGGTGTGCTGGCCCAGCAGCCACTGACAGGGCAGCAGCGCTTGGGAGGGACAGTCCCAGCAAACTGGGAAATGTCAGTGCAGCTGCCAGCGCAGGTGTGGGCAGCTCAAGGGGTCTGTCCAGCCTGGTGAGCCAAGTGCCACCCTCTGCCCAGGCTGGGGCTCCCTGAGCGGGAGACTCATCCTGTGGCAGTGCCAGGAGCACCAGGCACCACGCTGGGAGTGCCAGAGCTGTCTGGGCCTTTGTGGGACCCCTGTGACGTCCAGGGGCTGGTGAGGTCTCGCTGTGCCAGGAGCAGCTGGGCATGTCCACGCTGGCAGCAGCCCTGAGTGGGGAGGCCGGGCTGGCCAGGACAGATGGCGGCGGCTGGGAGGACGTTAATTGCATTGTCCGTCTGCAATTAACCACATCTGTCCCCGCCGGCAGCGGGACGTGGCCGTTGGGCGCAGCAGGGCCAGGGAGACTGGGGGGGTCGCAGGCTCGGGAGGGGTCCCCGGGCAGCGATGACGTTCCCTGGGGTGTCATGGGCTGCCCAGGGTCACACAGCATTTCACTGCCCCTCCAGGTATTCCCTGCGTCCCCCCGACCTTTCCTGCTCCCCCACACATACCCTACTCCCCCCACCTTCCCGACCCTCCCCTCCTCCCCTCTCCCCAGCCAGTCACCTCTCTCAAAGCTCGTGAGGCCACCAAGAGCCCTCTTCTGGCCCAGGGCTAAGCCCCATGGCCCAGCCCCATGGCCCAGCCCCACGTCACCGCCTGACACTGGTGGGGTTCAGCTCTGGTCCCTGGTGAGAGACCCCCCTGCTCCTGGGCCTGACCATGGGACCTGCGTCCACATGACAGAGGAGATCCCACCCCCTAAATGCCCTTTCCCACACCCCCTCAGCCCTGTGCCCCTGGCACGGGGACCCTTCCATTGTGCCCAGGGTGGTGGGATCCTCCCGCCTTGGCTGGCAAAGGGGCACAGGAGACGGGGACATCCCGAAACCTGGGCTGTCTGCTCCCGGGTGCTGTGGGGTGAGCGCGCAACTCCCAACCCAGCACAGTGTCCTTTGTCCATGGACCCTCTCCATTGGCTCGTGCTGCTCCACGTCTCCATTGGCTCGTCCTGTCTGCCCCCTGAGACCCCCCGTCCCTCCCAGAGCCCCTTCAGCACCACGTGCTGGGAGTGACCAGACCAGTGTGTAACCAGGCCGAGCTTGGCACGATGGAAAACTCCGTGACATTCCCAATTTTAATGCCCGCTGCCGTGCGGCTCGGAGCTCACCCTCCCCACCCCCCTCGAGCTAAACCATCCCTCAGCATTAACACCGCGGGCCGCGGCGTGTGGGGCACCGAGTGTCGCCCTGCCCGTGGTGCCGACCAGCCCTGGAGGGGTCCCTCGCCCCCCGCCCGGCGCACATCGGCCTCGGCCAACCCCCCGTCACGGTGTGAGCGGCAGCACCGCCCCGTCCTGGCCGCGGTCCGGTGCGCGGGACCCGTGGCCGCCGTCCCAAGCGTGGCCGCGGAAGCCGGCTCGGCTGCCAGCTCCCTGTGCCACCGCCCCGGGCACTGCTGGCTCGGCCCCCGCCGCGCCGGGAACGCTCTGAACAGCTTCTCCACAAAGCCCGACCGGCCTCTCCCACGCCCCTCCCTCGCCGGGGCGCTGAACCTCCTCATGGGCAGGGACCCCGAGACCCCCCCGGCCGCGCCGCTGGGGCTCGGAGCCCGGGTGCGCTGGCCAAGGGCGGCTCTGCCTCGCGCAGGCACCGGCAATTCTGTGCCCCGTCGGTCTGTGCCGGGTTCACCGGCGTTGGCAGGGCCGGTACGCGGTGGGGACAGCGGCAGTGCCGTGTGGGCAGCGCGGTGGGGGGACCTGCCTCCCTCCGCGGCACTGTGGAGCTGCTGTCGGGCAGCTCCGGATCCGTTTGTTCCCGCCGTCTTGTCCCCGGGCGAACGGCGCAGCCCGCGGTGTCCGATGCCCGAGCCGGGGCTGGGGGCCGCTCCGGACCCACCCCCAGCGTGCCGGAGCAGGCACGTGCCGCGCTCAACACCTCGGTGTCCCGGCACTGGTTTGGGGTTCGGGGCTCCTCGTGGTCTTTTGGCACGTCCTTAGGACCGGAGCGGTCGGTGCAGCCGCTCCGGCGCCGTGTCTGGGACAGGCTGGCGGCGATCGCCGGGGCTTCGTCCTCGGCTCCATCCCCGCCAGCCGGGACTGAGTTTGGGCTGGAAGAGCGTTTCCCGCTGCAGATGCTGTTGTCGTCTGCCCACCTGCGGCAGCATCCTCCGGCTCCCCGGTTCCCTGTGCCCAGCCTCTTGCAGCAGGGCACCGCGGTCCTGCCCTGGGATGAGGGCTCACCGCGGGGCACACGGGACCAGGAAGCGGGATGCTGCTGATGGTTTGGTCAGCTGGCGGGGGAGCACCGGTGCCAGTGCCGAGGGCAGGTGGCCACACTGAGGGCGTGTCGGGCGGGGGGACCCTGCCGTGGCTGACGGCATCGTGCCCGCAGGGTCAGTCGTGAATAGTCCCGGAGAGCCTCCGACGGGACCGAGCCCTGCCGGCACTCCGACCACGCGGGACTGCTGCGGCACCGGCACCTGGCACCTGCCTAATGCCGCTTCCCCTCATTCCAGGAATTCCCTACTGCTCCTGCGGGGGTCTCTGACCAGACCCTGCCCGCGGCTCCTTCCGCAGCAGCCGCACCCAACACACCCCCAGTCTGCGGGTGACTGTGTCCCGTTTCCCTCCTGGGGTCCCCAGAGGCATCTCCGCCTCGTTATGCTCGGCCAGGTGACCTGGCTTAATTAATCACCAGGGTTAACGACCAGTTAATTGCAGGGCTCCCTGTGCTCTCGGGAGCAGCATCGCCCTCAGCCTTGGGAGCGGGTACGGTGGGATCCCTCCTGCAGCCCCACTCTCCGCAGGGGCAAGGAGCAGCCGCTCCCTGTTCGTGCCCGGTCTCTGTACCGGTGCCGGGGCGTTGCTGGGTTTTAGATCTCGGTGCTTGCCCGGTGTCTCATCCCACATGTTGCAGCAAAGCGACCGTGCTCGCAGCGCCGGAGCCGGCAGTGGCTGGTGTGGGTGTCAGTGCGGCGGATTTTCCGTGGATCGGTTTGTCGCAGATCAGTTTTCCACTGTTCAGTTTGCCGTGGGTCACTTTGCCGTGGCTTGGTTTGGGCTCAGCCAGGCGCCGGACCGTTGGCTCTGCAGTGCACAGAGCAGGTGTAGGGACACTGGGGGCCAGATGGAGCCCAAGGGGTGGCAGAGTGAGATCTGGGAGTGATCCCGGGTGAAAAAGGGTCGGGAATTTGGGGAGCGCTGCAGGAACGCAGAGGAGCCGGAGCAGAGGCAAACCCCGCAGGTACCGGTGACGGCTGGAGCAAGGACAGACGTCGGAGGTCTCGGACAGGGGAGCTCTGCCCCGGCTGGTGAGGACGGGCCGTCCCTGGGGAAAACACAGCGACACTCCAGGACCTCCGCAGTGGTGTTCCAGGGGGGAAGGCTGTGGAGCCTCGTCCTCTGCCGAGTCCTGGTGTCCCGTCCCCACCGTCCCTCTGCTCTCCCTGCAGATGCACCGCACTGCGGGGGACACCGGGCTCGCCGGGGAGAGCGTGGAGGGGTCACCAGCGGATGGGGAGGAGATGGAGAGGTACGGGCACCACTGGGCACCGCCGAACGCATCGTGTCGGGGCCTGCGAGTGTGCCTGGCTGTCTACACCGTGATGAGGGAGCTGGGGGGAACCCGCACCACCTGGGGGTCTGGGTCGGCGCCGGGATGGGGAGGGCGCGGTTCGGCTTTGCGGGGGAGAGCAGGGTGGGAACGGACACAGCCGGGACGCCCTTGGCAGGGTCTGCTGTGAGTGCGCAGCGAG